GCGGGGAGCCTGCTTCTCCCTCTGCCTCTGTCTCTCTCTCTGTCTCTCATGAATAAATAAATAAAATCTTTAAAAAAAAAAAAATTAGCTCTGGTTACTGTTACTCTAGTCAGCTACCATGTTACTCCTCCTCAGCTCTGTGACTATGGAGACATTTCTAGAAGGTCTTCAAGGGGTCAGGTGAATGATGGGAATTCTGTGACCCATGTGTTCAACACCACCCTGGGGGACGCCCTGACTCAGCCCGTGTTTGGGCCGGTCCTACACCACAGAACCATACAGGGGTTGGGAGGCAGATGGGCCCTGAACAGGAGAGGCGGTCACCTTCCAGAAGCTTCAGGCTATCCCCAGACACCACCAGCCTGGGTGACTGTCATCCCTGGCAGGGCAACGGAGGAGTGGACAGACTGGCTGTCCCTAGGATCCAGCCAACCCTTATCTGAGGTGCTCACCATATCCCAAATTCCGCATCCTGGCTGCCGGCTTGGAAGCACCACCCAGGGCAGATGTCTTTTTCACACCTTGAAGGCCCTTTAGAAAGACCTCGGAAAGCAGATGAGGGAAGGGACGATTTTCCTGCCCATGGTGATGTATGAGAAAATCGAGGCTCGAAGAGTTTCAAGTATTTGCTCAAGCTAAGTGACAGCATGACTCAAATCCAGGGTTCCTTTCCACTACCCAAGACCACTACCTCAGGGTCAGAGCGTCTGGGGGCTCTCAGCCGAGGCACAGCAGCAAAGACCTGGAGCTGGGAATGACCCTCCAGAAGGGACCTTCCTCATCCCCACACCTCTCTTAGGGCCAGCGCGGAGCCCCGCCGCAAGGGGGCCCTATTCGGACCTTCTCTGCTCAGGGTCCTTCAGATGCCTGGAAAGATCGGCGAAGGTCAGGAGAGGGCCCCCTTCCCCGGGCACCCTGCTCCACCCCAGAGGCTGGACAAGCAGGCAGCCCACCAGCTCGCCCTGAGGTTTGGCTAGAGACCCCCCTTCCCTTCCGGCGCCTCCAGAAACAACTGCCCTTTGCCGTTCGAGAAAGTGCGTGGTCTACACCATCCCTGGGAAGTTCTGAGTAAATCCTGCTGGAGTCCCCCCACCTGTCAGCCTGAACCCACACAACGAGCTGGATTAAGGGGGAGAGAAGACGCAGGAGGAGGCCCTAAGGATGGACCCGACTGGGGACCCGGCGCGCGGAGTGGGGCGCTCCCTCTCACCTGTACCAGTCCAGCCCGCGACCGTAGTTCCTGTCGAAGAAGTGGGGCTCGGTGCCCAAGGCCCTCACGTCCGGGTGCACGCGGATGAACTCCAGCACGGCCCGCGTGCCCCCCTTCTTCACGCCCACGATGAGGGCTTGGGGCAGCCGCTTGGTGCCCATCCTTGCCGAGCCCGAGTGGTTGGCAGCCGGGAGGCGAGGGGCGGGCGCGGCGGCGGCGGCGGGCGCGCTGGGAGCGCCCGGCGCGCTGGGCGTGGGCCCCGGGGGATCGCAGGGGCGGGACTTCGGGAGAAGTTTCTGGCCGCCCGCGCCGGGGCCGCGGAGACACCGAGGCGCGCCGAGGAGGCGGCTCTGGCCCAGGTCGTCGCAGCAGCACAGGAGGCTGTAGCACAGGTAAGTGCAGGAGAGCGAGAGCGTGAAGGCGAAGAGCAGCCTGCGCGCCCTCCGCGGCTGAGCTGGCCCCGCGCGGCCCAGGACCCTATAGGCCATGACTCCATGGGCCCGCGCCGGGGGTCATGGTTTCCGGGGAGCGCCGGCGGCGGAGCTGCTGTGGCCCTGCGGCCGCCTAGAGGGCTGGCGCGGCGCTGCCCCGGCCCCGCGGGTCGG